TGGGACTTCCAGATCCAGACTGACAAGATGGTAATGGCGAACCAACCAGATATCGTGATCATCGATAAAGGGCAGAGGAAAGCCGTTGTAGTGGATGTAGCTGTCCCAAGTGATGGAAACATCAGAAAGAAGGAACACGAGAAACTCGAGAAATACCAAGGGCTCAGAGAGGAGCTGGAGAGAGCCTGGAAGGTAAAGGTGACAGTCGTGCCTGTGGTGGTCGGAGCACTTGGGGCAGTGACCCCCCAAACTAGATGAGTGGTTGCAACAGATCCCGGGAACAACATCGGACATCTCAGTCCAGAAATGTGCAGTGCTGGGAACAGCAAGGATACTGCACAGAACCCTCAAGCTTCCTGGCCTCTGGTAGAGGACCCGAGCTGAATGAGGGATGGACACCACCCGAGGGGTGAGACGAGGAAAATTTTTTTATATATGGGCAGCCTGGTGGGCGAGTGGGCACGTCAACCTCAAAATGCAGAGGTCATGGGTTCGATCCCGGCTCCGGCCTTTCTGTGTGGAGTTCGCATGTTCTCCCCAGGCCTGCGTGGTTTTTCTCCGGGTACTCTGGTTTCCTACCACATTACAAAAAACATGCATCATTGAACACTCTAAATTGTCCCTAGTGTCGTTGTTAGCCTGTGTGGCAACTGGTTCAGGGTGTCCCTCGCCTACTGCCCGAAGACGGCTGGGATAGTCTGCAGCACGCCCCGCAAACTTTGTGAGGATAAAGCGGTTCAGGAAATGTTTTTATGGCAACACTGCCACCGGGTGGGCAGTCAGAGAACAAAGTACCTACGGACATCCATTTCACGAATGATCAATCCAGCCGGTGAACAAAGCTGACTGTGTTGTCTCCCGGTGCCTGCCTACCAAAGACTTTTATGCCCCCCCATCCCATTTGGAAGCACGGATTTCTGAAAGTAACGTTTGTATTTTTATCAAGAGTTTTCTTTTTCACCGTAGCTATTTTGATATGGCAACAGAAATTTTGGTGACCACTGATCGCAGTTTTTGCACATGAGGCACAATTTAGAGTCTTGCAATACAGGTTAAGACGTTCATGGAGCGTCACTCTACAGCAAGTGAGGAGGGACACATCACAAAAATCGGCAACGAAAGACCTATCTGAACTGTAGAGCAAACCCTTGGGAAATTTAATGTAAAGATGCACATTCGTTTCCTTTTCCTTGTCAGATCTGGAGCAGACAATTGTTGAACCGGGTTGCAGCAAAATGTCAGCCCAATTAGCTATACAGTATTGGATGTGGTTTTAATATTACCCATAAATTCGGCAAATATAAAATAACTTCCCGGAGTCTTCACGGAGACTTCAGGGTTGTCTACCGCTGACGAAGCTTCTGTGAGAGAAGCGAAACGTCCTTTTTTGTTTTTTTACCCACAGGTACAGATGACGACTGACAGAACCCTTTCTACCATGGAACTTTCCTGTACGACTGAGAGCCTCCACAAGCATTCGGCAAATATGGTAAAATTAAGCTAGGGTAACGACTACAGAAAATATTCCCATCCCCGGAATTCTATGAAAAGGAATATCCTTCACCCGGAACAAAAGCCTGTGCATTAACATTTTGACTACGATATTACATGTTACCGGAACTTACGTAAGCGGAAATTCCACTACCCGTAACCCGGATTGAGACGTCATGCCGCGGGAGCT